CCCCCCCCCCCCACCCCACCTCCACACTCCTCCCTTCTGTCTTCTCCTCAGAACTGCACCCGTCCATCCGAGCCCCCTGTTCTCTCCGTCCCCTTCATAGGATTGATTGTAATAGTGGCCTTGATTTGGTGCTGGTGGGAGGAGCTGGCGTCCTAAAGGGGACCAGGTATGGCCACGCCCTTCTTTCTCTACCCGAGCCTGTGAGGCACGTTTCACTTACCTGCCTCCGGTCATCTTTGTTCCCTGTGGATCATTTGATAGAAATCTTTGGACCGTCGGTCAACCTCTAACTAACTCACCGCATTGACAAACTTTGATTTGTTCTTTGTGGTTTAAAAACAGAAAGCTGAAGAAAAGAGTCTGAACCTGTCGTACAAGAGTTACACGTGCTGAACAGAACTGATCTGGGCTCTGAGCGCAAAGGACAGGAAGGGAAGGCTCATGTCATCTCGCTTCCATAAAACCCTGGAGATGACTACAGATGTACATGTTTGAACACTAAAAGTTCTGCGGTTCTCTGTTCAAGGACGTTTTGGATCCATTTTGTTTGTTTTTTCATAGCGACGGTTTCTTTGAGGCTCACTTCCTGGTTCATGTTGGATAAAGAGAAGGGCTGTTAACTCCGCCTCCTTCCTCTTCTAGAAATGGGAATCACCATGGCAACCAGTGACTCAGCAGAATCTGAGTCAGAGGTTCTTCCATCATTCTGCTCTGTTTTAATATTCCAACATGGTCGCCCCCACACACCAGTTTAGTCCTAATAAAACATTGAAGTTGCAAAACATTTTTACCAAAGTATGACCTAAATTCTTGTTTGACTGTAGAGAAGGAAGCAGATGGATGTTGCTGCGTTGGAGAAGTTTTTATATATTCGGCTGTTCTCAAGTGTTTGGATCAATAAATTCCTCTCTGTCTCTCAGCAGAGCTATTCTGAAGGCTGGAACCTGGTGGTGGCGGCGGTTGCCGTGGCAGCCATTGCAGCTCTAGTGGTTCCCAGTTTCATCAGAACCTGAGGACTGACAGGAAGTGACCTCACGGCAAGCTGTGGGATCTTGGGACTGCTGTCATCCATCCAGCACCGCCCTCATCCATGTCGCCGTCCTCATGTCTGCTTGTTGCACGTTTCAACCAAACGCTACAGACGGCAGTGAGTTCTGGAGGAAGAAAAAACAGTCATCAAAAATGTCTATCTATCCTTCCCGCTGCAAGTCACATGACCGTTAATCAGCTGGTTCCGCAGGTCACATGACCGTTA